CGTCCCCGCCCCCGAGAGGCCAGCGCTCAGGAGCCTGGCGGTCAGGTGGTGCATGGATGGTCCTCGGACTGTCCCGCCCGGTGGAGGAACACTCTCGAGGCTTCTGTAGGGGTTCGCGAGGGGACCTCGTGGGTGCAGTGGGGAGGAGCCTGGCTGCTGGGAGGCGGAAGTGGCCGAGAGGAAACTGGCTCCCGCTCGGTGCCTCTGCGGCCCGCGCCACCAGGGGGCGGTGCGGAGCAGTGCTGGCCCGCCCCGCGCCGGCAGGCTGGCCTCCCTGCTGGGCGGAGCTGTGCCCTGGGGAAGGCTCAGCCGAGGGCTCAGCCTGGGCTCCTGGGCTCCGATGGGCCCTCACGGGAGGGAGCCCTCCAGGGCAGCCTGGGTGCTGCAGGGAGAGGAATGAGGCCCGGCCGCCCCGCCCTGGCAGCTCCTGCCGGAGTGTCGGCCCTGGTGGAGCATGTGTCCTCCTGGGCTCGCACCCTCCCAGTGAGCAGCGACTAAGAGCTGGGTATGGCGTGATAAGGTCTAATAGGACCTGTCGGCGACACCTCCTGGTTCCAAATAATCTTTGATTTAGCCCCAGATCAGAGGAGACAGGGCCAGGCAAGTTCTCGAGAAAAGCACTCCCTGAAGACAGGTTGGTGGCAGCTACTGTCCGGGCCCTGCCCTGTGCACAGAGGATGGGACCCAGGACCAGAGGGCAGTGACTGGACTGCAGGGCTCTTCTGCCCTGGCGCTGCTCTGCTCACCGCTCTTTCCTGATGCTGAGGCCTAGGGCTCCCCTACAGTCCCTGCACCACCCTGGCGGGCCCCAGAGTTGGCTCTGCTGGAGTCCGGTGTCCCCGAGCCTCTACTTGCCCGCGGTCCCATCTTCTTCCACCTTGTGGCCCCTGTGGCTGTCTACCTTGCCGTTGTTTCTTGTGCCCATAGAGCAGTGATGGCGAACCTATGACACGCGTGTCAGAGGTGACACGCAAACTCATTTTTTTGGTTGATTTTTCTTTGTTAAATGGCATTTAAATATATAAAATAAATATCAAAAATATAAGACTTTGTTTTACTATGGTTGCAAATATCAAAAAATTTCTATATGTGACACAGCACCAGAGTTAAGTTAGGGTTTTTCAAAATGCTGACACGCCGAGCTCAAAAGGTTCGCCATCACTGCCCTAGAGGGTCAGCCCCATGAGGACAGGGACTCGGACTCCTTAACCCTGGATGTGCTGTTGGAGAAATGGGCACCTGTGGCGGTGCCTTCTCCTCAGGTTGTGTCCTGGTTTGGTCCAGGTGGGGTTGGGGCTGCAGCTGTGGGGTGCAGGGAGGCTGGCCCAGAGCATTGGGAAGGAGGGGTCCTGCCAGGGGTTCCAGGGTGGTGGGGCAGGGCTGCAGCCCCATTCCTGCACCTGCCCTGAGAAAGACACCCTGAGCCCTCTGTCCCTGAGCCCGGCCCTGGTGAACCAGCCCCCTCTCTCCCCACCCCCGGCCTCATTTTACTCCCCCAGCAGACTTCCCTCCACCGGGATGGGGTGTCAGGCAGGAGTGGAAGCCTTGGGTGCCTGCCCCCACTCTGCAGTGCTGGCCAGCCCCCCATCTGCCCAAGCCCAGGGTCAGGAGGGAAGCTCCTGTGGGCAAAGACGGACAGGCCAGTCGCGCCTCCAGATGCCTCTGGTGGGTGTAGACACACCCACGTTACCTAGGCAGGCAGGAGAGGCCCCTTTCAGATGTTTGAACCCAACCCTATCTGGAATTTTCTCTCCGGTGAGGTTCTGGCAGCTGTTAGGGATGTTGTTGGAAGCTGAGTCAGGAGGAAAGAAAGCTGGCCCTGGCCGGTTTGGCTCGGTGGTTGGGGCATCAGCCCGCAGACCGAAGGGTCTCAGGTTCCATTCCCAACCTAGGGCATGTACCGCCATTGCAGGTTCCATCCCAGCCCCAGTTGGGTCACGTGAGGGAGGCAACCAATTGATGTGTCTCTCTCACATTGATGTCTCTCTCTCTCTCCCCACCCCTTCTCCCTCCCTTTCATTCTCTCTGAAAATCAATGGAAAAATCCTTTAGTGAGGATTAAAACACAAATGAGGAAAGCCAGCGACATCCAGTGACTTGATAGGAGGGAGGAGTCGGGACTTGTGGGGCAGCCCCTGTGCAGACTTGAGGACAGCTCCTTTAGCCGACTCACCCTTTCTGAATGGCTCTTCCTCCTGCCGCCAGGCGGGCCTGGCTCTGTCATTCCCTCCCCAACGCCGAGCACAGGTGCCTTGGGGGACATGCTGGAGCCTAGCTGTGGAGGGCAGGGCAGGCAGTTATTCTCAGATGCTCAGGAGGGTAGAGTTTCAGATTTGTTTATGCCTCTAGGAGGCACCTTGGGCACGGGTGGTACGCCCGGCTCAGCGCTGACATTCACCTTAGCTTGGCCAAGAGATAGCTCAGATGCCCCTGTTCTGCTGGGGGCAGTTGGCCCTGCAACTCCAGGCAGGCCCGGGGTCTGAAGCTCTTTCTAGGGTATTTCAGGGGGTGCACGGTGGTCCTCACCAAGCCCTGGGCCAGCAGTGTGCCAGCCTGTGCCCAGGGGGCAGTTCACACCCGAGGCTGCCTGTTCTCCAGCAGGGTCAGTGCTATTAATATCAGGCAAGTGCACAGCCCCAGCTGCGTGATCCTCTTATGCCTGTGACTTCGTCTCCGGCTGGTGGTGAGTGCTGTTCCTTCGGCACAGGGGCCTGAGGGGCTCCCAGCTGCTAGCTCCCTGCCTCCCAGTGGGTAGCCTCTGCAGCCAGGGGTCTGGCCTCACACTGGCTGCCCACCCACCCATGGAGGGGCAGCTCACATGGTTCCTGGGTTGTCCTAGGGGGCTGCTGTGGGCCTGAGGCAGTGTGGGGTGCCCCTGCAGACACCTCGGATCATCTTGTGTCCAGCCATGAGCAGCCCCTCAGCTTACCCTGGCATCAGGATCTCAGGGTGCTGGGCCCTTGGAGCAGAAGGCAGGTGAGTGGCAGGCCTGTTGTCCGCAGCTGTGGTGAAGAGCCCTTCCTCCCCTGCATCTCGGTCGATTCCTGCGGGGGGCGCTGCACATCAGGGACCAGGAGCCAGGCCGGTGCTTGGGGCGGGTAGGGCCTACCACCCACAGGCACCGGGGGCTGCTCATTGCAGGCAGGTCTGTGTCCCCCAGTCCTGTAGCTGAAATGCCCTGTCATCGTAGTCCGCGTGCTCTGTCCGCCTGTGACCAGGGAAACGAGGTCTGTGCGAGTTTCCCTCATCGAAATTGGTCCCGCTATGATACGGCTCGCTCTCAGGGCAGTGAGGCTTTGTCCCTGGCTCCCAGAGAGCTGGGCTTGGAGAAGGCCGTGGGCTGGGCTTGGCTGCAGACCCGGCCTGACGCTTGCAGGCCCCTTGCACGCCGAGGCGGGCGCTTTCTGGCAGCCACCCCTGGCCCCCGTCCCCCTGTCCCGGGGAGGTGTCTACCCCAGGCTGTCGGCAGCACCAGCCTCGGAAGTCGTCCTTGCCGGTGGTCATCATGACCTCAGTAGGATGCAGAGCAGGCACAGCAGGGACCTGAAGGCTCCCCCCAGAGGCTGCCAGCCTGGGGTGAGAAGCAGAGGGACCGGAGTGGTGCCAGCCCTGGCCTCCGCTGTCGGGGGTCCGTTCTGCGAGGCCATCTTTAGCACGGGTGCGCCCTTGCTGGCCAGGTCTTGGCCTTTGCAAACCATAATTTCTCGGGGTTTCCTCCCTGAGTAGAAAGCACAGAGGGGAGGGGCCTCCTTGTTGCCAGGATGGCTCCGTCTGCCATTTCCAGGGTGACTGGGGCCTGGAGACACCATTTGTCTCCAGGGCGGCTGGTCCATGCCAGTCTGAGTTCCCCAGGCGCTCACGGTCCATGGTGGTGCTGTGGCCTGTCCCCAGGCCTGCCTGGCCACTGGGTCATCTTGACGCCCAACCCCATGGCGAGCTTTAGCACCAGGTTCTGAACGGACCCGAAGGTAATGGCTGTCCCTGCAGAGACGCCGCTGAGCACCACATGCGGACACCGAGCACTGCACACGGACGGCTCGCTGCCCCCGCCCCCCATGGGGCCACGTGTCTCCTGTCAGCGTGCAGGCTTTCTTGCCCCTTTCATGTGCGGACACTGTTCTCTGTGCCCTCGAGGCTGTCGGTGTGCCTGTCGCGTGCGGGGCCTCAGCTCACCTCTCTGCTGTCCCCCCAGCACCTGCACAGGCGCACCTGGCACTGCGGGTTGTAGCGGTGACAGCAGGACAGAGCTTCAGTCCAGACCATGACTTGGTCTGGTTTTTGATAACAGGGGCACGTATTTGTAAGACATTCAAACGGGGCAGAAATCCCTGTTCCAGATCTTGGTGCCCAGGGCAATTGTGGCACCGCTTCTAGCTCGTTGTGCGCATGCACGTCCCACTCACATGCGCAGACCCGAAGGGCACATGGGCTGGCCATCTCCACATGCTGGTTTTCACATAAACATCTTAGTTTACTTCTCGCCCAACCCACGTTCAGGACACCTGCCATGTCCCTGTCCGTCTCAGGCCTTCCCTGAGCAGGTGTCAAGCCAGGCCGCTCAGCCACCCGGGCCTCCCCAGAAGCCATCCCTGTTGGTTTTGGGGCCTCAAGCCAGTGACCACACTGGAGCCCTGACAGCGGCCAGGATGTCCCTCCCACAAGCAGTGCAGCATGGGGAGAGCTGGGCACAGGTGCTGCCTGCCTTTCCCAGGCGGAACTGCCACCTCGCGGGCTGTGGGGCCTCTGCCCTCCTCCCTGCAGTTGGCAGGTGCTCGAGGGCGAGAATCAGTGGCCTCCCCAAGGGTCTCCCAGCTCACGGTCTCCCACCTACATCCGTCCACATCACTGTCCTTGGCATGGATGGCACTCCCCTGCACCGAAGTTGTGGTTTGCTGTCTCTCTGAACTCGTGTGAACAGTGACTGAGGCCACGGGCCCTGTGGATGGGCGGCAGGCGGGTTTTGTGTGCCATCTCAGCCATGCCCGTGTGCCTGCACAGGGAGTACGTCATAGAGACGGCCACCCTGGGCCTGGCGTGGGGGTGGGCTTGGTGGCAGGGCCGGCGAGCGAGCTGTTCTCCTTCCTGCAGCAGCAGCGCTGAGGCCTTGGACAGGCTCCTCCCGCCCGTGGGCACTGGGCGCTCGCCGCGGAAGCGCACCACCAGCCAGTGCAAATCCGAGCCGCCCCTGTTGCGCACCAGCAAACGCACCATTTACACGGCGGGGCGGCCGCCCTGGTACAACGAGCACGGCACACAGTCTAAGGAGGCCTTCGCCATCGGTGAGTCGGCTGCCACCTCCCTGTCACCCCACCGGGTGGGTTGGGCAGGACCCGTCATCAGGTGCCAGGGTGCTCTCCAGCAGCAGAGGTCGGGCTTCCAGTTGTGGTGACTTGGTTGGAAGGGCTCTCCTGGCCCCGTCCACCCCAGGACCCAGGTGTGTGGCCCACCTTGTCTGCTCCCCCGCAGGCCTGGGTGGTGGCAGTGCTTCTGGGAAGACCACTGTGGCCAGGATGATCATCGAGGCCCTGGACGTGCCCTGGGTGGTCCTGCTGTCCATGGACTCCTTCTATAAGGTGAGGGGTGCCCTGGCGTGTGGCCGCTGTGCCGAGGGCCTGCAGCCCCCCCGCCCTGAGTGCACCCCTGCTCTCCTCACAGGTGCTCACCCAGCAGCAGCAGGAGCAGGCTGCCCTCCACAACTACAACTTTGACCACCCGGATGCCTTCGACTTCGACCTCATCGTGTCCACCCTCCAAAAGCTGAAGCAGGGCAAGAGCGTCAAGGTCCCGGTCTACGACTTCACCACCCACAGCCGCAAGAAGGACTGGGTAGGCCCAGCAGCTGGGCTGTGAGGGACTGGGCACATGGGCCGGCACGGGCGCCAGCACAGGCTCCTTCCCTTTGCAGAAGACGCTCTACGGTGCCAACGTCATTATCTTCGAGGGCATCATGGCCTTTGCTGACAAGACGCTGTTGGAGGTGAGGGCGGGCTCCAGGCCATCCTCCTGCCGGGACGCCCTCCCACAAGACTCGCCTTCAATGCCTCCTCTGGGCAGGCCCTGTCACCCTGTCACCCTGTCACCCTGTCCCGTGGCACAGGGTCACCTGTTCCATCCAACGTGTGGTCCCTGGGTGTCGGGTGAGGAGCGGGCCCTCTCCCAAGAGGGGGTCCAGGACATGGGTTTGAGCAGACAGGGCAGGTCTGCCACCCACAGAGAAGATGGAAATGCCCTTGGTGGCAGACCGAGGTGCCACACTTCCTGGGCCTGGGCACAAGCTCTGGGCTGGTACCTTGGTTTCCTTTCTGTCCCCACCTGCACACACCAGGTTTCTGTCAGTGTTCTCTCTGCTGTCCTCGGGGTCCCTGCGGTCGCCAAGATGACGGTGACGTTGGAGGGTGGCATGGCTCACGTGCACGCTGGTGTCTGTGGGTCTGCACAGGGTGCTCCTGGGCGTTGGTGCTCACAGCCGCTGTGCACTTCCTGTGGGAGTTCTGAGGCTCAGGGCCCAGGAACCCGCTACCCCTAGCACCCTCCATGGCTCCTTCAGGGGTTACCTGCTGTGAGCTGAGTGTGGGGACAGACCCAGACTCACCAAGCCCCAGTCCCCAGTGTGAGGGCATCAGTGAGGGAGGCTGTCCAGAGGAGCGTCGAACCCGTGCCCTTGGACCAAACCTGGCTGACAGCATCCCTGCCCTCCAGACCCTCCATGTGCCACGGGGCCTGGCTTGCTCTCGGTCTGTGCAGGAGCCGGGTCCTGGTCACATGGCCTCATGGCTTCTGCGTGCTAGCCTCCCCGGCAGTGGCTTGCTCCCCTCCAGCTCCTGGACATGAAGATCTTTGTGGATACGGACTCTGACATCCGCCTTGTGCGGCGGCTTCGCCGGGACATCAGTGAGCGTGGCCGCGACATCGCAGGTGTCATCAAGCAATACAACAAGTTCGTCAAGCCAGCCTTCGACCAGTACATTCAGCCCACCATGCGTCTGGCAGACATCGTGGTGCCCCGAGGTGAGCAGGCTGTGGGGGGCGGGTGGGATGCACCGCCATCACCCGCCCGCTGGTGTCACCCTCCTGCCCTTCCCACCCAGGGAGCGGGAACACAGTGGCCATCGACTTGATCGTCCAGCACGTGCACAGCCAGCTGGAGGAGGTGAGGCAGCTGGCCAGGCCCTGTGTCCCACCTGCCGGCCCCCCCCCGCCCCGCCCCACCACCACCCATAGCTCTGCTCCAGCGGCCCCCACGTGGTCACAGAGTCCTGCTCGGTCAGCCCTGTGTGCTGTGGACACAGCAATGTTCCCTGAGAAAGTGGGGCTCAGGTGCGCCCCAGTGCTCCCAGCCTGAGCTGAGCCTTGCCCAGAAGGGCCATTCCTGTCCCTCCTACCCTTTGGAAGGGACTTGGGTTTTGGCGCAAGTCCCACGTCCTGAGCACCTTTGCGGGACGCCGACCAAAGGTCACATGTCTGGCTGAGACCTGAGGCTCTGCTGCCCAGGTCAGAGGCTCTAGGGAGCTG